TCAGGGCTTGGACTCGTCGAGTTCAGCTGACTCGGCGAGTTCACCAAGTGACTCGGCGAGTCAAACCTTCAAAACTCAAAAAAAAAAAATCAATTTTCAGTGCTTATTACGATCAAATATGCATCAATACAATAGAAACCAATCAAGGTTCTGATACCACTGATGGGTTTTGGTCATAAGACATCCTATGTGCTCATACAAACCCTAATGCTTGGATCTAGGTTTCTCTATTGTACATGCTTTGAATCCAAGACTATAAACTCTAATTCTAACATATGGAAATCGACATGAACATATAATTAGGCTTAAGAACATACCTTGATTGTTATGTAGCAATAACAATCCCAATTCCCCTTGTATTGACTTTGGAATGCTTAGAGTCACAAGTGTCACTCCTCTAATGGTTCACAAACACCATAAGCAAGAGGATGAAGAGGAGAGAGATTGGAGGCTGCCAAAAACGTGTGTAAACCCTTCCAAGAAGCTTTGCCACATTTTTGAGCCTTAAGGGGTCTTTATATAGTTGGGCTATTAGGGTTATCTAACAAGGAAACCCTAATTTGGATGCTTAAGCCCTAAGCAACCCATAGACTCCTTTAATTAAGCCCATGGACGATTTCCTTATGGGTTTCCCATTAGAATTCGTCCATCCCTTAATACAAGGCAATCCATGGCCCAAATTGCAATTATCTTATAATTACAATTCCAGTCCCTTAAGTTCAATTAATCTCTTTTAGTCACAAAACTAATTACTAATTAATTATTGACTAATATTAATTAAACAATATGATTTCTCCTTTAATATATTATTCCCATAATATATTAATAAATCATATTTAATCCTTACTCTCCATAATTCATCCTATCAAGTTGCTTTGGTGAAGGCAACCCAAAAGGACCATGCACCATCGGGTCAAGTACATACCAAAATAGTTATGGACTTAGACACTAATCCAACAATAATCTCATTAATAAGTATGCTAATCCATAAAGTTGTACATTATACTTTATATGTAGTTAGTGGAGCATGTGTGGTTAACTGACACACTAATAGTGACTATAAAGAGTAATAAAGGGAATCTCGAAAATTATCATTGTTAATGGAGCACATATGGTTAACCGACACATTAATTGGAGATAATAAATGACAAAGAGAGTGTCAAGCATATTTGTATAGTTATTCACATCTTGTTTGTGATCCTCGGCATCTCAATAATAAATAGAAGAGCATAATCTGAGATTAAACATGCCATTGATAAGAATTAATGAATCTCAAAAGATCTACGAATTTCACAATTCGAAATTGGAGAATTGCTTTTACATATCTTTCATAAATTCACAATAAGATTACGACATCCATCTTCTTAGTTGTGAAATGTTATATTGGATCCTAGCCTTAAATATTAATTATGGGTTTAAATATTAAGGATTTATATAATCTAACTAAAACTTATTTTTCTCTATAGATGTCTACTTCTGGTGATGCTTAAGTTCTCAAAGCTCTACCCACAACTTTTCACTCCTCTCGATCATGTCTAAGGTGACATTGGATGACACTGACTACAATGATTGGATGCAAAACATTAATATGGCTCTTCGATACGAGGGTAACGAGTATGTCATTGAGAAACAACTCGTTAAGTTCAATGACGTCACTACTACTCTTGAAGAAATAGCCTCCTATAAGAAACACTATGACGACGCGACTAAGGTTGCTTAAATCATGGTTGCCGCCATGATTCCAGAGTTGCAAGAGTTCTATGAGGACTACTGACCGTTTGAGATGAACTTTGATCTTGTGGAAAAGTTTCACAAAAGAGGCCGTGCAGAAAAGTATGAGGTCGTTAATGCTCTAATGGCTTGAAAATTGAAGGAATGAGAGTTTATCTGCAACCATATGCAAAGAATGCAAAGATACGTGGAGCGCCTTGAAAGGATAAATGTGAACTTCGAAGAGGATTTGACCATTAACATGGTCCTTAACTCCTTGCCTCCTTGTTATGATCAGTTCATTATGGCTTATCATTTGAACAACATAGAGAGCACATGGGCCCAACTCTACAACCTGTTGCGAACAGCTGAGTCAAGAATAAAGAAGAATCAAACTCCTAACTCTACTAATGCTCTTGTCCTTGCCATTGGAAAAAAGAAAAGAAAGAAAATGAAAGTTCTCCTAAGTAGAACTGGAAGGGAAAGGCCCATGTTGGGTCATCTAGCAATGACCCAAAAGCAAATCCCAGTTCTGATATTCCTTTTGTTAGTGATCCCACATAGGCCATTTGCTTCTATTTAAATTATAAGAGCCATTGGAAATGAAGCTACCCCAAGTACTTGCAGGACATCAAGGATGACAAAGTGAAGCCATTGTCAGCAGGTATTTACATTATTCAAACTAATAACTCACATCCTACTCGTTCTTGGGTTCTGATTTGCAGTAACTAATTGAAAGTGAAGAGGTGGAGCATGGAAGAATGAATCTAATCATGGGAAATACGCAATCTTCTCCTGTTTCCAAGATTAGAACTTGTAGTCTTTTGCTTAGTAGTGATATTATATTAGATTTAATTAATTATTGTTATTCGTCAGAAATGACGCGAAATGGTGTGTATGAAACTGTGATTTGTTTTGATAGCTTAGGTAATAGTGTGTTTCATATTGATTCATCTAATGGTTTAGACATGACATGCTTGTGTTATTTTCGTCTTTGGCACATTAACAAGAAACGCATCGCCCAACTTTAAGAAGATGGAGTGTTGGAATCATTTGACCTAAGGCCAGATGATGAATGTGAATCTTGTATTTTAGGAAAATAACAAAATCACCGTTCATTGGATCTTGTGAAAGAGGTGAGGGTTTGTTGGATGTCATACACATAGATGCGTGTGGACCATTCAGATCCATCATAAGGGATGGTAATTGATTTTAAGTGACATTTACAGATGATTATAGTTGATATGGTAATATCTACTTAATCAAGCATAAATCAGAAACCTTTGAAAAGTGTGAAGAGTTTAAACATGGAGTCGAGAATCAATTAGGCAAGAAGACAAAGATGTTCCGATCGGACAGAGGCGGAGAGTATCATAATATCGATTTCCACGACTATCTCAAGGATTATGGAATTGTTTCACAATTGACTCAAACTAGGACACCGAAAATTAATGGTGTGGCTGAGAGGCGTAATCGGACCTTGTTAGGGTGCAAAAACCCTGAAATTTAGGGTTTCCCTTGCCAGCTCCTACTCGCCGAGTCTCTCATTAAATGACATGTCATGTCCCGCTTCTACTCGACGAGTCATAGCGCCAACTCATCGAGTAGACCTTAAGACTTGAAATTTAGAAGGAATAATAATGATATCTGACAATTGGGATGTTACATTTATTTTATAAAATGATATATTTTTTTATCATTGTACTTTTTAACATATCATTTTCATCCATTCCACCTTCAACTTTGTAAAATATCAACTACAACCTTTTATATGTCAACTTTCGTTTTATCCTCCGTCCCCATATATATATATATATATATATATATATATATATATATATATATATATATATATATATATATATATAGGTTTTATGGAAAACAAAAGATCCTGGAAATCATACAAATGCATTAAAAAAATACATAGAGATCACAAGACTTTTTTTTGATTTTTTTTATGAAAAAATCGCAACTTTTACTACAAATTCGTTGATTTTTTTTTTGAAAAAAACCAATTTTAAAAAAAAAAATGGATTTTTTTTTCAGTGATTTTATTAAAAAAGCTACGATTTTTCAATAAAAAAATTTTTTAAAAAGTTTTGTGATCTTTAAGTATTTTTTTTTATATATTTTTATGATTTTTAGAGTTTTTTTTTGTTTTCCAAATAATTCTTCCATATATATATATATATATATATATATATATATATATATATATATATATATATATATATATATATATATATATATATATATATATAATACGATTTTCTCTCCCTTATTTTCTTAATATTCAACAAAAACATGTAAAAATTCATGACAAAGCGGAGTCTCAATTACTAGTCACATAAGTTGATGTACCACTTATGTCTTTATGGCATACTACGTTGTGTAAATTATAAATATACCAATACAATAAAATATAGGATAGTTCAAAGGCACATTAATGTAGGTATATTCCAGCATTGAGAACCCATATGTTGATGTTGTTTACGTTTGATATAGTTGGGACAATGTTGCCATATTATCATATTGGTTACAATAAATTTTTGGTCGAATTTTTTAACACCACATTTAGGGTATTATACAAATGCCAAAATGTTCATCATCAATGACAAAATTAATATTCTTATTGACTAATATCGTTGTTACCAATATCATAATGATTGTAGATGATTAATTGATTATTATAATAAATATAACTTGAAAATTTTCCAAGTTTTATTATAAGAATTTCATTACTAGTTTTTAGATTCGGATACATTGTATTAGTTTAGAAAAATGAATAATAATTGACCAGCTTTATACTTGTGACTTGTGAGTCGTGTTCTCCAATTTATAAAAGCAGTCGACTCCTATAAATAAAAAAATTATGATTATTATGATTATTGCTCTTGAGGGATATGGTCCTCCATGACTAGGATCCGATCTACAACCCAAATCCAACTTTAATATTTTGTACACGTCCGAATTTAAAATTGTTAAATATTATTTTTCAATTAATGTAATAACTATTGTGATACTAATTCACAAGTTTAACGTTCAAAACATGAAGTTAAAACTCAAAACTTAAATGCTTATAAATTTACTGATAATATAATATTTCATTTTGTCAAAACAAATCCCAAGTAAAAAACACAAAAAGTATAACTGATATTATAAGAAAGATGACCGTGATTGTTGGAGTAATACTTCCTTTTATCTTATTACAGATTTAGAAGTAAAATAAAAAAGATATTTTTAATTTTTAATAAATTAATAAAGAATAGAAAGCAAGCTAAGACTTAACTGGAGCTTGATTCTTGAAGACATGCATGTCATGAATTCTTCCAAAAAGGTCACACAGCTCACACCCAACGCATTCTCTCCTTCATAGTTTATATAACCACACACATTAACATGGTGTTTATGTGTGTGTGTGTGTGTTTCGATCTTTTCTCAACCTCCTTAATTAATTCATCAATGGCGGATCTGATGATGCCCAAGTTGATAAACCTGCTATCGTCTCTTCTTCAGAGAGCCGCGGAATCGAACGATCTCAACCGTCCATTACACACTCAGAAGATATCCATCTTCTACGGATTGATCCGACCCAATATAAGCATCGAGAAATACCTGGAGCGGATCTTCAGATACGCCAATTGCAGTCCGTCGTGCTATGTGGTGGCGTATGTTTATCTGGATCGGTTCGTGAAGAGTCAGCCATTTTTGCCGATTAACTCTTTCAATGTTCACCGATTGCTTGTTACCAGTGTACTTATCTCGATCAAATTCATGGATGATATGTGAGTTCCTTTTTCCTTTTGAATTTTGATCTAACTTCACTTCGTTTAATTATATATATGTGTGCATTATGGATTCAAATGGCGATTAATTTGTTGTTTTGAAAATGTTCAGATGTTTCAACAATGCGTATTACGCAAAAGTTGGAGGAATATCAACGGTTGAGATTAACCTGCTTGAAGTCGACTTTCTATTCGGGTTGGGGTTCCAATTAAACGTCACACCGGAGACATTCCGGGACTACTGTACATATCTTCAATCGGAGATGATGATGGGGTTTCCTCCTGTGTGCTCGGCTCCACCAGTTCTTACCATGGGCGCAGATCATTGTGCCATCATCAATGAAGATGATTGTCAATCTCAACATCATCAACCGCAGCTGGCTGTTTGATGGGCATATATGGGAATTACCCGGTGCGCTCGACTCCAGCTAAGGCTTTTTGGAGATGCGAAAATTTTCATGTGTTAAGTTTAAACTTTAAAGTAAGAAAGGTTTTTTTTAACACTTTCCATTGTTGTCCAAAAGCAAGCGTTTTACATGATTAAAAATTTTGGTCATTAGATCCACCTTAAATTCGCATCGATCTTAATGACTCAATCATTCAAAGACTCTTTCCCAATTACTGCTGAATCACATCAAAACTTATCGAAATCTAAAAAAGTAGCATCTTAAACTTTTTTTTTTTGTAATGAGTAATGATAATATATATTAGCTAATTAAAAATATTGTAATTATCATTGATTCAAGTCAGAATTAACGAATCGCATGTCTATCATTCAAAGACCTATTGACCAAAAGCAAAAGTTGATGATGGCATCTAAATTGTAAGAGCTTGTTATCGTTTAAATCTCATCAACCGAAGGTACAGATTAAAAATATGAGGAAAGACATCTCTAAGTATACGTAAAAATCCCAAAAATAATTGTATTTATTATAATTCTTTTATATTATTAGTTATGTTATTATCAGGGGTGGATATGTCTAGTAAGAAGCTGCATATCCTTAATTTTTCCCAACAATGTTACAAAAATTTTAAAAATATATATTAGTATATATTAAATGTTCATATTGCTTACCCTTGATCCAATTGTTGCATACCTTTTTGTTGAGATATAACCGATCGATATGGAGAAGAAGTTACGATTTTAAAACTTAACAAGAGATAAGATGAGGAAAAGTAAGAATCTAAAACAGAGATCAATGGATAATAAAGAGAAAATTTTGTAAAAGTAAAAATATTAAATATGGGCTTTGCGTGTTATGAGTTAAAGCCTAAGGTTGCATTTGGTTGTGAAAAAATCTTTAATTTGCAAACAAAAAAAATCCAGAAAATATGAAAATTATGAAAACACGTTTGGTCTGATAACTTTTCTAAAATTTTCCCGAAAAACAAAAAATCTTCTATTTTCAAAAATTAAAAAGAACTTGAAAATTTGATAATTATCGTTTTACATACATTTCTTTTCCAAAAGTTTTCTAAAATATATAAACACACATATATACACACAGACCCCAAACCCTCACCTACAACCCATTCATCCGCTCCCAACACACGCCATTTATATCCTATACCCCACACATACCGTACCCATCCTCACCATTCTCCACATTTATTTACCCATACCCCACACCCTACCCACAAACACTTACCTTTAACCACACCACACACACTCTCATTGTTTGTAAAATGTGATTTATGATGATAATTTTATATTTAAGTAATAATTCTATATGTACTTGCTACTATATATATATATATATATATATATATATATATATATATATATATATATATATATATATTACTTAAAACAACATTTATTTAAATTTTGATAACAATTACAAGCTTTGGAAACTTGACGTGCCTGAAGCCATAATGAGTTTTTTAGAACTTTCAAAAATACACAATGAAGCACGTTTTCCAATTTTCTAAAACAAAATTGGAAACCTAAAAATTTAACCAAACACATTTTTTAAATTTTCCAATGAAAACTGAAAATGAAAACTCATCTGCTTTTTTGGAAAACTTTTCCAAGAAAAATGAAATATGCTTTCCACAACCATATGAAACCTAAAATTTTAATACAAAATCGCTTCACTTTTGGTCTCTTACAGTTTTAAACACACAATTTCATTGTACGGATAAAAACCGAAACTGCATCTTTGGAAAAACCGAAAAACTACATATTGCAGTTTTAAGATTACAAAAAACATGCATACGGTTTAAGGTTCGATTTTGGCCTAAAACCGAACCAAACTGCATAATGCTCACCCCTACCAATGGAGTTGTTTAATGGATTGTCAGATGACATTTACTTTCTATAAAGTACAAAGTCTATAAATACAAACATAAATATACATTGATTAAAAAGTACAAAACCTGCATATTTTTGGGTAGCTAGGTCAAACAATAACATAAATTTACATAATCAATCACCATTATTCAATCAAGTATCACAAGGGTATATTTTGGAATGCATATTTGTGGTGAGGCAAAACATGCACAAAAGGATATTATCTAGAATGAGTTATAATGGTTAAAACTGACCCAAAAAGTAAAGATCGATCAAGTGTAAAGAAACAAAAAGGATATAATATAACAAAATCTTTGCAATTTAGAAACATAAAGGATATAATGCATGAATACATTATATTACATAATATGATCATGGGAGATGAAGGAAATGCAACTAGTAATTGATCAGATCATATTAATTCCCCATTACATGTGCATCAAATACCTGTTTTTAGTCTTCTAAAAGTATGTTTACAAAAGAATACCATTAGACAATAGTTATTTTTTAAAAGAAATAACAGCCAGTGTAACACCATATTATGCAATGCCTGGAACTCAACTATGAACGTTAAAATACCAAGCGCACAGAGTCAAAGTCATGAAGATGAAAGTCAACTGGGGTGAGTGTAGTACATAGTTCCAAAATCCAAGATGTAGCATCAATGTTTCTTAAATCGGCTTGATCTTGAAATGAAGAGAGATCAGCGAGAACACAAAACACTTCAAGTCCTGAAACATTAATACTTCTATTACAATCAATTTATGGACATCTACAAAGTATACAAGTTTAATAAATAAGGATAAAATGATTCCATTGATGTTGTAAAGAATGTTCATCTGAAAAGAGAATCGGTGTAAACTGATCATCTTTTATATGTAAACTTTGTTCATGTATGTTACATATGTAATATATCAAGTATTTCCATGAATCCATTATAAATACTTTAATCATCTTTCCAAAGTTTCAATCAGAATTCAGAAATGGGACATTTGGAAATTACAAGCACTGAAAGTGTACCATGTAGCTCATGTTCTTGCCTATAAGAGCAACAGGCGAAGCATGAATCCAGAAACAAGATGCAGTTTATGTGATCACAAACAGACAGACCTTTTGGTTTGAAATCAATAACAGAAATGGATTACATACCTGGACGAGATAATAGAAGATGCGGAGGCCTTCAGGATCATTACTAGTCTGAACATCCATTAGCGACCCAATCTTGGAAGTAGTGAAGGAGATGTGTTCATTGCCCATCACAATCTCAAGCTCTTGTCGTCCTACACGATCTGGTTCTGGCCAGTTGTTGTCATCTTCCTTCATAATCTAACAACCAAACCAAAACCACAACAAATTACCATGTTTCCCTTGCAATGATCCACAAATTCAATCCGTTACACATATGTTTCCCTTGATGTTCTGATTTTATAAGTTTTTTTAGGACGAGATCTCTCAAAAGTTAACGAATTACCAACCAATCAATTCAAAACCCTAACAGTTTACTAATTAACTAAAGTCAGAAACCAAATAATGTCCGCAAATCCGAAAAGTAATAGAGCCTGTTGAAACCCTAACAAACGCGGTTATGCTAAAAAAAGAATCGACAGGTGAAGAGAAACACTAACATCGGAATCGGAGATAATACGGCGGCACTCTTTGAGAACAGAAGGGGTGAGGAAGACCTCCTTGCGAATCATGGTATCGTTCTTGTAGTTGGAGTTGTTGGCGTAGCGGAGCTTCCCGTCAGGTCGGAACTCAAACTCCAAAAATTCATGTCCAAACTTTCCCTTGTGCCCTACGTAGTACCTCAGGTAAAACTCCCCGCCGCCCGTCGCTCCGTTCTCCTCTTCTGCCATTTCTCTCCCGGAGGCTCCTTGGGTTAAAATTTTTAAGTTGTAGACACGTTTGAAAAAAAAAAAAAAAAAAACAAATAAATAAATAAATAATATTTGCTGTTTCGTCCCTGTATTAGAAAAAAAATATATTTTGGAAATATTCCTCTCAGATTCTAAATTTTAAAATGGTTTGTGTAAAGCTTTAGCTTTTTAAATTTTTATTATCATGAGATTTTTTGGAACATTAAGTGCTATATTTGAACAAATACATTAAACAGTGTAGCGATCAAAAGAAAATCTAGTATGTAGTACATGATCAAACAAATTAAGTTACCCTTATAACACAAGCCAATTTTATTCCAATGATAAGTTGCATAACATGAAAACATAACACTGGATTCATTCAAGATTCCTACATAATCCAAGACATAAGACATGTAAAAGCCACGAAAACTAGTGACTTAAACCCAACACGCACAAATGTGGATGAATTACGAACAATAGGCGATGGATTATTATTTTTTGAAGAAGGGATGGTGGTAGTGGTGGTGGTGGTGGTTGTAGAATCACCACCGGACTCCGCCTGTGGTGCTCTGGAAGGTGCTTCTGCCGCCTTACCTTCAACAACCACGTGAAGCTTCATTCCGGCATAGCAATGTAGTTGCTTACCACATATGAAATACCTATCTCCTGGTTTTGTCAAAGCAAATGTTGTGTTCCCATTACTACCTGGTTGTAGTACATTGGTCGTGTTGCACCCCTCATATCTATCTCGATTCACCTCCGCCACACTATGACTTGAAGAGTATTGAAAAGCTACAAAAATAAAAGCGTAGATTTAAATAAAAGCAACAGTAACTAACTAATCATTAGTATAACAATAAGAGTTCTTTTTTGAGATAAAGATACTCACAAAGAACGTCACCAACAACAAAATGTTTGTCTTGAGCCCATGAATCGACATCGGTGGCTATGTCCCAACCGGAGGTGTCACCCACCGTGTACGTTGTGGCTCTACACATTGATGCATAGCCAAGGATGGCTAAAACTGCCACAACTAGAAATATTGACCTTCTCATTTGTGGTTGATGGCATAGAAAAGGACATGAAATGTTGGTGTTATATATATATTAGATCGGTAGATCCAAGTAATGGCTCGATATATAATTAGATTACCTAATTTCTTGAAAACCCATTTTCTCCAAATGACCCTTGGTCTATGGTTGATGATCCATTTGAATATATATATATATATATATATATATATATATATATATATATATATATATATATATATATATATATATATATATATATATATATATATATATATATATATATATATATATATATATATATATATATAATTTAAGCAATCAAATATTTGTTTACACGGTTTAGGTAACCACAGTTCGTTACTAAACGTTCACCAATTTATGCAAACTTAAGTTGATAAATGATGAATTTCATTGCATAAATTGATTTAAAACTAAAAGTTTGTCCAATCTATAAAGTGATAAATTATTTGTGAGGTTTAGTTACATGATTTAAGGTTTAGAAAGTTGATTAATAGTTATGGGAAATTGAGTAATCTAACCCTTATAACGATCTTTTTGATATAAATAACCATTTTTTAACCGTATTGTTCTGGAGAGGTCTCTGGAATTCTGAATGTCATTCCACACCATGGTTCCGGAATATATTTGATTTTTTTTCTTATAAGTTTTGCTTTTATAAAATGTAATACATCGTTTCAGAATATATTTGTAATACATGGTTCGAGTATAATGTATAAGTTTTGGTTTCATAAAATGTATAACTTTTGGTTGTATAAAATATAAAATGCAATTAAAATGAACAAACAACTCATAAATACATAAACTACATAAAGGATATGTGTAGGTCATATTACATACTAGTTGTGAGACCTATGTATTACATAGGTTAATTTTACTATATATATATATATATATATATATATATATATATATATATATATATATATATATATATATATATATATATATATATATATAAAGGTATAAATATTTGACAACTTTGAATTTATAAGAAAAATAATAAATTATTATAATGAAAATGTTGTTTATCTTTTAAATTTAAACAAATAATTTAAATAAACAAACATAAAAAAAACTAATGAATTTTACTTTTGAGAATATTTTGAAATTAAAATATAAGTTTATTAATAACATTGATATCTATTTATTACTATATTTATTACAATTATTATATTAAAATATTATGTAGAATTTATAAAAATAGAAAAACTTACAAAATGACATATGAGAAAAAAATAATTCAAGTGACAAGTGACAAAAAAACATTCATTTATTAGAGTAGATACGATGTTCAAATTAGAGTAAATTACACGAATGATCCCTATGGTTTGGGATAATTTGCACGTTAGATCATTAACTTATTTTTTTAACTTGGAAGGTCACTCCTGTTTATTTTTGTTGTGCATTTGGTCCATGTCTTACCTAAAAATACTATTTTGACCTTGATTTTTTAATTTATTTAAATAAGATAGGGATAAAGTCAGGTAGTGTGAGGTGGAAGTGGGATTAGGCTTGTATTTATTTAAATAAATTAAAAAAAATCAATGGCAAATAGGCTTTTTAGGTAAGACAGGGACCAAGCATGCAACAAAAACAAACAGTTGGGACCTTTTGAGTTAAAAAATAAGTTAGAGATCAAACGTGCAAATTACCCCAAACCATAGGGACGATTTGTGTAATTTACTCTTCAAATTATATTTGTCCTTATACCCCCAAAATATTTCTGGTAGTCGTTTTTTATAACTCATAGCCCATGGACCGGTGGTTTTACCATCTACAATCGATTTCCCCATGATCAACGCCTCCAAGAACCAATACAAAAATACCCCATAATCCCCTCTGTTGTCAATCTGTTGTGGTACGTCTAGGGAATTTTCGAGGGTCATCTTGAAGCTCTCAAGTGAGATTGAATCTGTTGGTTCGATACCCCAGTAGTTGACTCCCACTAGCAGTTTGTGGATGCGAGCTCTCATACCTATGAACCAATCCTCATTTTTCGAACAGTAGCCTCCCTTCCAATGATTATCGTATATAGTCATTTGGAATATTTTCAAATCCAGAGCACACAAAAACCAATGAGCATGTGGTATATTGATTGGAATGTAAAGCTATAAAAAAATGTTAGAAATAATAATTAGTATATAAATACTCAAGTAATGTAATCCAAACAAAATTATATTGTATCACACTCTGCCCAAGCTGGGTAAACGGATCTGTCAGTCATGTCACTCCAGTCAAATGTATTCGTGTTGAAAGTTGACAGCACAACCGTCCACCGAGCATCGTCCGTTATACGTTATACCATCAATGATATCCACATCATGATGTGTTGCTAATTAATATTTTTTGCATTAAAGTAAGTATTGTTATTAGAAGCGTATTATGTAATAAGCAAATAATTATATTACTTACATCACATGACAACCATCCTCCATGACTATCCGCATATAACTGTGTCCAAAACTCAAGCGTAGCAAAACCGCTCGAATAATTGTGACCAAACAACAGTGAGCCATCTCGTTCTTTATAAGCAGTGTGTATGTTAGGATCTAAAAGATTGTTCAACGATGCCGGTTGTTGCCATGTAACACATTTCCTCTTCATTTGTATCTGTGGAGACTTATGTCATATACGCATAACATTTTGGCGCTTAGAACGTCTAAGAGGTGTTGACGTTTGTATTCATCCCGTGGAATCTCTTTTACATCTGACGAGTGAATAACCGGAGACGGCTTCTCATGGCCGTCATTCAGCGGATGTTCAGGGTCGTCATTCAGCGGTTGTTCGGGGGTGCAGAAGACATAGTCATGCTCCCATAACTCATTGTCATTGTAGTATCCTTGTATGGTTCAATAATATATACTTGTAAACGATGCAAAAAACATAACGACCATAAACATTGAAATAATTAAAATATTACCCTCATCCCCTTCGAGGTACGAACATCGTCTCCGGGAGTCTTATCGATAAGTTTTAGAACCATGGGTAAAGCAGCCTCATGCTCTGCTAAACGCTCCCCCTGAGACTGCAAATGCTCGCGACATTCATGGACCTCATTTTTCAATTGACCGAACTCGTTCTTCAAGTCACTAATAATCCATCCTTATCAATTGATGGGTTAGTGGCCGAAGGTGGTGGTGGTGGCGGAGAGATAGATCATCTATTTGTGCCTTATTTTCTCGAGGCTCATGGGTAGGGGAGTTTTTGGGTGATGGTGTTATGGAAGGTGCCCTATGAACTTCATTGTCAGGAAAATCAGGGCAATCAATCCACGTCGAGCTAACAATCCACCATTCAACACACATCTCATCTTTTGTAGGCTCTAACTTCAGTACAAGGCTCATGGGTAGGGGAGTTTTTTGCCGAAGTAATCAAGGAAACCCATCACCACCACTATGAGGTGGTGGCTGCCACCTCACGCCGCTATTTTGCTGCCACCAACCGCCACTTTGGTTGGATGTGTGATCTTACATGTGGTTCGACTATTATTTGAAATGATTTTGATGTATTTTGGTCTAGAATCATAACCACCACCAGTGCGAGGTGGTGGCTGCCACTATTGACCACCACTACCCGAGGTGGTAGTGGGTAGTGTCGGACTTAATTAACATTAATTAACCTAAAAACTTAGCCATTTGTATAATTGGAATGCGATTGGGTTGGAAACCGTAATTAGGGTTTAGAAAACCCTAATTTTTGATATGTTAACTTTGGAGTGTTCGGGCCCGTATTTTGGACCATTGGAATTGAATTATGAATTACGCCCGACGACACCGTATGATTAACCTAGTAGAATGATGGACTTAATTGATTAAGTCCTTAACGGATTAATTGTTTTTAATTAATCCTAATCGTCATTTTATGTGAAAACCCTAATTGTGTTGGGCTTTTCTATTGGGCTTAAATGTTTTGGGATTCTTGATGGGCCACCTAATAACAAGTATATTGACTAGGAAATTTGGATGGGCTTTAGGGTAAGGCCTATATGAGGGGTTTGGGCCCAATTTGGAAAATCGTGCCATATGTTGGGCCTAGGTTCATTATTTGGCATTTAGGCCTTCAGAGTGTGTGCTTGGGCCTTGGGCGAGGATCAAGCTAGGTTGGGGTAAAGTAGTCTTTTACCCTAAGCATGGACTTATGGTTATGTATTGGAACCCTATTGTTAATTGGGTGAGGCTTTTATGCTGACAGTTTGGGAATCTGTCATCCAACAGCTAGAGTTTTATCTACGGGACTTCAGTAGTGCGAGGTGAGTTGCCTTCCCTGTATGAGTCGATCGAAGGCACCAATGTTGGCCCACAAGTAGTTTTTTATAGCAGAGATGATTGTCTTTGTGATAATTGTCTGGTATGCTACTATCTGTAGCGACTTATGTGCTTGTATGTTATGATATTATGTGGTAGTGGTAGGAGGGGTGAAGTAGGCCTCGTAACCAATTAAAATAAACCAAAGGGTAGGTCGGGCACCCAGATATGCCTGATAGTATGTTTATGATATGATATTATGTGGTAGTGGTAGGGGTGAATTTGTAACACTTGTTCCAGTTATTACTTAATTTATGTAAGATCTAGGGTTTTGGTGGTGGACTCGGCGAGTTGGGAGTCCAACTCGTCGAGTAGAAGTCATCTCAGCGGCGTGGGATCTACACCCTACTCGAAGAGTTGTAAGTCTGACTCGGTGAGTAGGCGCTGTTAAGACAAAACCATAATTTTAGGGTTTGCACCCTATATAATCTTCTTATGAGCCTTGAGGCTGACCTCCCATCAGCCTCCAAACACTAAGAACGTCGATGCTAACCCTAATCCCTATCCTCTTCCATTTTGTGAGCTAGAGTAAGATTTGAAGCTTAAGAAGAAGGAGATAATGAGGAGATCCATCAAACCAAGCACCCATCCTTGAGCTTAATCATCTTGTGCACTGTTGTAAGTCTTCAAGCCTCGATTTTTATTAAAGTATAATGCTAGATCTTGAGTTTACTCTTCATTTCCTATCCTTCTTATTGAATGCATGCATGGGATTCATAAAGTTTGTAACTTTATGAATCTCTAGAGCAAAATGGTCACAAGGTGGGCTAGATATGGCTTTTGGTCGAGTAAGGACGCCATGTAATGGTTTAAGGCATATTTCCCTCTTTTTAGCCATTTTGACGTAGGGATGTGCATTGGACATGCATGTCCATAAATCTTCCATATTTGGGACGTTTTGAGGACTAGGAACCTTTCTGGAAAGGAGGGATTTCGAATCCCTAGAGTTCTGGACCAAATGGCAAAGTTTTGGAGCTTTCCAACCTTTATTAAGGACCTTAGAGCGTTTGGAACAGTTCTAGAAGGTAAATTTGGAAACTTTATCCTTCTAGGTGCCTTAGGGCTTTAGATCTAAGCCTTGGAATCCATGTATGATATCGACAAACAAACAGGAAGGGAGACTCGGCAAGTTCCCCTATCGACTTGATAAGTCAGCCAAATGGGTTTACGGCCAATAGGTTCACGTCCAAAGGGGTTTGCGGCTAGGAGTTTGCAGTTGAGAGTTTGCGGCCTCAAACCTTAGGGGACTCGAAGAGTTATGCGAGGAACTCGACGAGTTGTTGGTTATACTCGGCGAGTTGAGGTCAATATGGACTGTTGACCTTGACTGAGGATCTTGACCTTGACAAGGGTAGACTTTAGGGGTATTTATGGGATTGCGTATGTTAATCATTTGATGATTAAAGGTGATTGAAGAGAAGCAACATGGGACATATTTGACATCAGTTTACCTTTCCAGCATTCAAGAGGTGAGTCTCCTCACCATACCAATGGGTCTAAGGCACCAAGGTCGACCCATTATGTAGAGATGTGTGGTATACTTATTATGTAGAGTTATGTGACACACTAGTTGATGTAGTGATGTGTGGTATGAAAGTCGAGTATATGCTTTATGATATGCTATGCTATTTGTTTTGTGATAATTGCATGAAAGATCATGGGGCGAGCCCATGACACTTGGATGTAAGACCATGTGGGGGAGCCCATGGCTGTCCGGAAGGGAAAGACCATGGGGGAGCCCATGACATATAAGTGTAAGACCATGTTGGGGAGCCCATGGCATCCTTATGCAGGGATATGTGGTAGAGATGGCTTATGGCTAATTTGATATGTTATGTGGTAGAGATAGCTTTTTAGCTTGTATAACATGTGCTATGTGGCTTGTGTATGTGTGGTATGCTCTAAGGAACTCACTAAGCACTAGCTTATAGTTTCTGGATTTGTTTCAGGTACATTTGAGCCCAAGGGCAAGGGCAAGGCGTGATGATGCGGCGTGCACTCTCTCACTGATGTTTTACGGGACACTCTGATAATTTTAAATACATTTGTAATGGATGTGAATTTGAAAACAATTGTTCTGAATGATTGGTAATGTGTTTGATTGATTAAACATGAAAATTTCCTTTTAAAAATTTGGTTTGTTACAGAAATAGACCCCGTAACCGGTTGAAATAAACCGGAGGGTAGGTCGGGCACCCAGATATGTCTGACATGGGTAGGTCGAGCACCCAGGTATGCATGACAGGGGTAGGTCAGGCACCCTGATATACCTGACATGGGTAGGTTGAGCACCCATGTATGCTCAGTAGAGTAGGTCGGACACCAGATATGCCTGACAGTATGATTATTATATGGTATGTGGTATGATGAGGGAACTCGCTAAGCTTCGTGTTTACAGTTTTCAATTTCGGTTTCAGGTACTTATTCTTCAAAAGGAAAGAAGCTGACATGATCGCAACGCATCACACCATGATTTCCGCATTATGAGATCTTTGAGAGCTATACTCTGATATTACTTTTCTCTAACATATTTTGGGTTATTTGAAATACTGGTTTTTTATTATGAAATTGGTTGACAGTATTGATGTTTCATACTACTGGTTTTTATAATTACATATTTAAAAATGAAAATTTTGGCTCTAAAATTTGGGATGTTACATGTTTATTCTCTTTCGGTTTCTTCTAGATGTATAAGATTGTCGACCTTATTGAATACAGTAAAAAATTGTTTGTACAATTGATCCCAAATTATCATTCCCCATAGATATCTACTACATAAAAAATTAGTTAACAAATAAATTTTTAAAAATATTTGTAACGATAAGTAATTAAAATCAATAATTATAAAATAGTCGATATTATACCTACTGAATTCATCAAGGTTGGATAGCAAAGCGAAGTACTTTTCTGTAACAGACGTTTAGCCAACCACCAATTAAAACCATTTTCTAATAGGTATCAAAGACATAAACGAATTGCATCCTCGTCCGATAACTCATTAAATGAATTTTTAAACACCTTCGTAACGTGGTCTAATTTGACCGATACATTCTTCGGGGCCATAGAAAGGCATAGAAGGTAGCGCCAGATGCAGAAACAGGAAAGCAGTCACCAAACTGGAAGTCGTTGATGTGTCAAAATTCTTTCTTTACAAAAGACAGCTCGTAACCCCCAATCTCAAAACCATTTCCTCTACTTGGCTTTGAGGGTCGGTGACAACTTCGTGACAAAAGACGTAATGTAGAAGCAAATTATCCCCATCTACATTAGAAATGTCTAACCACCTCCCAAAACATGTATTATTGAACATAGCCTCGCATTCGGGTCTGTTTCTGAATGTTGCAATAATTTTCCCGTCGATTTTGGTTTTACACGAGAGTGTAATTGATGCATCAAAAATCATGTCGTGTCGCACAAATAAAAAAGGTGTTATCACTTCATTATAAAATGGAAATGACAAATATTTTGGACCAGTTCCTTACCTGTTCTTCATATTCCAGAAGAGTCCATCGTGTTCCGAAACAGTTTCCGGAGGCTTCCGGGATGAAATTTAAAGATCCAGAACAAGACATTTCGACGTAACATCTAAAGTGATTTTAAGTTGGTACTACAACAATCACATCTTTAATTTATACCCCAAAACGTTTTAGTTCATTCCGGAGGTGGTCTACGAATTCTGGAAAAGTAAGTAAGAGTAGAAAATAGGAACTTTAAATAAACAAAGAGAAAATAAAATAGGAACTTTAAATAAACAAAGAGAAAATAAAGAACATATGTACATGATTTTAGAGTTTTTTTGGAGGTAGCAGAGCTTTCTACTTTGAATAGAAATGTCGGAGCCACCAATCTTTCTAATGAGGATGACTCATGGCAGTCTAACTTTCTCCTGATGGCAACTTTTACGTACATGATTTTAGAGCTTTAATCGACTTAAAATTAACCATTTTGGCGTGTAACCCAACTATTTGGGTTAACGTTGTTCCTATCAAGCTCATATTTTTGTTTAACGTGCTTGCATGGATCATATTCCTTCTGTAGTTGCATTATCTCGAAGGGTATATCTCTTCCGTCCATTTCCTATTTTTTTGTGGCTCGAAGATTTACGAGACATGTCATATACTTGTTGGGTGTTCCTTTGCGTCTAATACTTTAAGATGGCTTTTCAATTGGTGTAACATTCATTATTAGAGATTTGATAAGGTCAACAAGTACATTAAATTTGTGTCTTACAAAAAAAATGCAAACTTCAACTCGCTATCTTGTATGGCTACTTGGGTACGTTTGGAGGGCTAAAAATGATTTACTTTTATAGGACTCGTATATCTTTTATTAAATTGGTGGATAATATTCTCATGATCGTGTTTAGTTGGTTTAAACATAGAGAGAATCATCGGGAATGTAAATGGGTACGGGGTAGATTGAGTTTGTTTTCCCTTTAACATTATGTAATATGCTTTGGTTTTTTTGTTTTTTTGTCTTGTTACTTTATAAGTTATGATTTTTATGAAATTTTGTTGGTTCCAAAAAAATAAGCTATATATATATATATATATATATATATATATATATATATATATATATATATATATATATATATATATACTCTAATAAATAAAGATATTTTTGATACATGTCACATTCTCATTTATTTTGTTACATGTAATTTTGTGATTATTTTAAATTAATGTTTATTCTACATGTCATTTTATGGTTTTTTCATTTTATTAAATTTTAGATAGTATTTAAATTATTTATTTAAATTTAAAAAAATATATTTTAATTTTTATAATTCAATATTTTTTTCACTTTTCTAAATTCATAGTTTTCAAAGGTTTAGGATTTTATATTTAGTTTTTCTTTAAAATAAACCAATATAATAATAAATCTCACACACCTAATATGTTACTAAAAGCAAGTTAAATATTGTATGGTCGTTTATTAAACTTTTATTTTTTTAAGACTAACTCCTAAAAAACATCCATGTTGCCATCCAAAGAAATACATTTTTTTAACCAAATAAACATGTAGCCAGAAGCATAACATGGCCAACACACGTCCTTCCAACTGCGAGATCACATAGTATGTGGCTGAGAAGCGAGAAATGAAACACATAACAAAAGTATGTGACGTGTCACTTGTCGATAAGTCCACGTATACACTAACAGATTGGATATTTCATCCACCAATCCACGATACTCTATCCCGTTATCCGTATACTATGTGGGCCAGATGCAATCCCCCAACCCCAATACATAAATTTAATAAATTTATTAGTTAAAAAACTAAAAAATAATAAAACTAAGATAATAAATATGTTACGTCTTGTAAGAATAGATGAATTTGAAGAGGAAAAAAATACCAATATTTTTTTTTTAATTATTTCTATTGTTTCTGTATATTTATTTTACCATTAATAAGGTGAAAAAATGTTTTAAAAACTGAAAGTCTTTAAACAGAAGCTGATGCATACAGTCATACTAGTGCATCTCTTTGATCAGTTCACCAACACCACATATCAACCTCGGTCTTCATCTCTCTCCTCGATCTCTTTCAAATTACAGCAGCCACGCTTCGTCACTTTAGGTAATGCCGGAGAACTTCCTTTGACCTCATGTAATAATTTGTGTTGTAGGCACCATTACAAGTATTTCGACACCGTTTTTTAAGATGAATTCGTCTACTTACGGAAAAAAAAGCATCCGATTTTGTTTATTTTGCGAATATTTGTGGTGGTGAATGATAATAATATGATATTAGAAGTGTCTACTCGTCGGAACTGTTAAAATGTTCGGAAACTTGGTGTGATTGCATATTTTCTATGCAGTATGGTTAGATTCTTCAAAATTGATGTCAAAGTACTAAGTAGTTCAATTGGTAGTGATATTGGGGAAAAGGCAATGGACACGAATATGCTGATTGATTATTAATGCAGTTATGTTTAATTATAATGCGGTCTTAATCTGTAATATTGGTTCGCTTTTGATGAGGTCTGATTGCTTTCTGTATATTATTAGCATCTCAGGCATGAAACGAGAGTGATGATAGAATATCTAGGGTGATTTATGGCTGAGATGAGAGTAATGTGAGATATTGTTTCAGAGCAATGAATTGGAGCTCTGGTAGAGCTCATAATTTGGAGCTTTCTTTTTGGGATAACATTCTTATTTTTTTTTTTCTAATTGGCAGAAAATTGAAGTGATCTACAAGAAACCTGAAGACCTGTTCAGCAATTCTGATTATGGTTGCTGCTAAAAGACTTTACCAAAGCATGTGATTCTAATTCTTTCAAGACTAACGCCATATATATGATGGCTACAACTGCAGTTATCGGACTAACAGCAGGAAAAAGAATCCTGTGTTCATCATCTTACTACTCTGATGTGAATGAAAAGCTATCCTGCAGTAGCAATCTGGGGTTCACATATGTCCCCACTACAAATTTAATCTCTTCAAAGAAGTCCCCCAACTATACCCATAGTATTACACGCAGTCGAGATACATCTCCTGTGAGAGCTTTGAAGGAACATGTAGATACTACTGTAGCTCCTCCAATTACAGACAAATGGGTTCAGGGGTTTGAATTTGATCATCTGGATGAGGAAGTCTCTGAGCATGATCTCCCAGTTGATGCCCTACTCTTATTACACAAATCTTTGCTGGAAAAACAGTGGACCCTTTCAACTGATGCTCCAACAAAAGATAAAAGCAGCAGAAAGGTACATGTGACTGGTTCAGGGGTATCTGCTCGAAGGCGTAGAATAAATGCTCAAAACAAAACACCAACTGTAAATCAAGGTGGTGGAAGAATTGGAAACAAACAGTTGAGATCCATAATCAGTCCAGAACTTGTTCAAAACTGTCAGAAAGGGTATCTTAAAGGTATGAAGAATGAAACCTTGCTCACTCACTCCGAGGTGGTTGCTCTATCAGAGAAGATCAAAATCGGTCTACACTTAGAGGAAGAGAAGTCAAGGTAATGAATGCAGTTTCTCTGGGATCATAAATGAATGTTTATTCAACTGTAAATGAATGTTTTTTCAGACTGAAAGAACGATTAGGATCTGAACCTTCAGAGAAGCAACTAGCAGCTTCCCTAAAGATATCCCGAGTTGAGTTGCAAGCCAAACAGATTGAGTGCAGTTTAGCAAGAGAGAAGCTGGCATTGAGCAATGTTGGTCTGGTGATGTCTGTTGCATTAAAATATAAACACATGGGAGCCGATATGTCTGACCTAATTCAGGTCTCTGAACTTAAGAATACAATATTATTAAGTCTTAATTTGTAGATAAACATTCTATAACTCTGGAATTCTCTTATTTGATGATGTAGGGAGGTCTAATTGGACTACTGAGAGGGATAGAGAAGTATGATTCATCACGAGGTCACAAGATTTCTACATATGTCTATTGGTGGATTCGCCAGGTGAGGATTACATGAAAAGGAAAGAGACAGTTTATGTGTATTTGTTTAGTTCATGTAACATGTTTTTTATGATGACAGGGTGTGACGAGAACATTCTTTGAGAATTCAAGAACCCTAAGATTGCCTACTCACTTGCATGAAAGACTTAGTGCAATCCGAAATGCCAAAGCCAAATTAGAGCGAAAGGGAATCACCCCATCAATTGATGTGAGTTAATTAAACACTTGGAATTTGTGTTCATCGTTTCGTTTTATATCCTTATTCTCTTATGTCCATGTAGAAAATTGCGGAGACACTGAATATGTCTAGAAAAAAAGTTACAAACGCCACTGAGGTACTAAAAAGTATTTGAGAAACCTGTATTTTTTCAATTTATCATATCCTGTTTATTAATCTTTAAATACTTGTCAATGCAGGCAGTTTGTAAAGTGTTCTCACTCGATAAAGAAGCTTTCCCTTCTTTAAACGGTCTTCCTGGAGAAACCCTTCACAGTGTAAGTTTTATTTATTTAACCAAATTAACAAAAATCACTTTTTATTTCTTCATTTTATTTTTTTGACCTCTTTCCTTTAACTACCTGCAGTACATAGCAGACGATTGCCCTGAAAACGACCCGTGGCATGGAGTAGATGAAGGCGCTCTCAAGGTACTTAAAATCAGATAAACTTTTTACTTTTTAGGGCTAAAGGGCATTCACGTCTTTTCCAATCCAAGAGATTTGATTTGTTTGTTATTTTACAGGATGAAGTAAGAAATCTAATTAAAATGACACTAGGGGAAAGGGAAAGAGAGATTATCCATCTTTACTATGGTTTGGACAACGAATATCTTACTTGGGAGGATATCAGTCGAAGGTATCTCAATCTCATTCAGCTTCAGTCTATAAAAGAAACAGACATCGATATTCATTTCAACTGTTACTGATATTGATGCTGATACTGATACTGATACCGTTGTAGGAAGGGATTGTCGAGGGAAAGAGTGAGGCAGGTTGGCCTAGTTGCATTGGAGAAATTAAAACATGCTGCAAGAAATACGAAACTGGCTGCAATGCTGGTCAACCATTAAATTTTTTTTTGGTAATTATATTTTATGTACATACAAATAATTATGATATGGTTATTTAATTTCCGGTATTAATATTTCTCAACCAGTATACATTACTGACTTAAAACCCTTGTTTTGCACCATGAGAGAGCAGTGTATAGAAAAGTGTTATACTGCAGGAAAATCGATTAATACACGTATTTTGAGCTCAATGGAATCAAAATTTGCTGACTCCACCGTTTTTTTTTTTCTTTCCTTACTATACTAATCATGCATCTAACAAACATATTTTGATTGATATATAGTATATTAATTAGTGTTGATTGTCAATAATATATAACTATTGTGATGATAGCAATAAAAGAATTGTGAAAGAATTAAACTGAATATTTCATGTACCTGGTTAATTTTGGTATTGAGAATTGGAGGATCCCAAACGAAATTTACCTAATTACATATCTTTTGTTAATTATAAGAAATGCTAATTTAAGTGAGCATTTATTTAAAATCAAATTGTTTATTGTAAGTTGTTATTTGTTATTAGTTAATAACATTTAAGTTAGAGATTGTTGGAACTTTTTTTTTTTTTTGTTGCTTGCTACTTATCAGTAACTAAAGTTATTGTTTGTTAAAAATCAAAATCTAATTGTGATTATTGTGCTAATAAAAATGAATTTAATTTGGTTAGGGGTTACTCATATTTTATGTTGGATGATGCCGACCCAATGAACAACCCCTAACCAAATTAACTCATTGTAAAAGGGAGCTGATTTTTCTACATTGTTGGGAATTGGATCCATTATCTCGATTCACTCATTGTAAAAGGAAGCTGATTTTTCCACATTGTTATTTTAATCATGTAAAATCGAAATTCAAACAAATAACTAAAAATAGGCCTGTAAACGAACCAAACGAACGCGAACAAGGTCTTGTTCATGTTCGTTCGTTTAAGTTAGCCGAACAATAAACGAACACGAATGGATAAACGAACGAGATTTTCTTGTTCATGTTCGTTCGTTTAACAAATTACTTTGTTCATGTTCGTTCATTTATGTTCGTGAACATGCTAAACGAACATAAACGAACAAAGATAAAAAAAAAACACAATTGAACATATATGAACATAAACGAACATATAATATAGCAATGTAATAAAAAATAATTGAATATAGATGAATATAAATAAAGTTAAACGAACGAACATAAACGAACGTAAATGAACATCATAAACGAACGTTCACGAACATAAATGAACGAACGAGACCATTGTTCATGTTCGTTCATTTAACTAAACGAACGATAATTTTTGTTCATGTTCGTTCATTTATTAAATAAACGAACATAAACGAACTTCCCACCGAACAGTTCACGAACGGTTCGCCGAACGTTCAGTTCATTTACGGTCCTAACTAAAAACATAAATGACACCACAAATATTGATGGGTGCTTCGAGCTCCAACAAAATCTAGTTGACAAGAAAATCTCTCCAGAAACAACACAAAGTTTCTTGATTTCTGGTTTAGCAAGTTTACCAAGTCCCCCTTTAACTTCAAGCGACCTATGAATTATAATATATATATATATATATATATATATATATATATATATATATATATATATATATATATATATATATATATATATATATATATATATATATATATATATAATAACATATTGCTCCGTCACGTGTATGAATTATCAGAAAAATCGTTGAAAGGAAACATAGGTTTGTGGGTTCTTGGAATAAAGATTGAAAGAGAATATGTAAAAATCTATCTGTCTGATAAAGCATTGCGAATGGAGGGAAGCATCAACAGACGGATATAGGAAGAAGAAGAAGAGTGCGTGTTGTCGGAGGGAAGAAGCAGGAAGGAGGAAGAAGAGCCTATATGTCGTTTGAAGTGAATCTAGAACTTTCACTCTTCTTCAGTATCAATATATATATATATATATATATATATATATATATATATATATATATATATATATATATATATATATATATATATATATATTTACTATATTATTAAACATATATATATTTGAATTTTTAATTTTTATAAGAAAGATTTACATAGGTTTGTGGGTTTTTGGATAGATAAATATATTCCGTGGAAATATCAATTCCCATTGTAAAACTATAAAATTAATCATTTACAGAATTACAGTTCATCGAAAAATATAATTATAAGTTAATTCGGTTGCATGAAACTAATTAGAAAAATACAAGGGAAAAGGAAAAATAAAAAACAAATAGACAAACTTTATCAAATAAAAATAAGTTTACAAGACAAAATACGAAAATATCGTCTCCCAACACTATATACGAAAGTCAAACCTCAAACATTTGTAACATAACAGATTCCCCTCAATCAAGCCGAACTTCTTGATCATTGAATTCTCCGCGTTCCACCATTTTCCATAATTCCGGTTGTTTTCCATTTCCGATTTCGATAAATCAAGCAACAACTCAACATGCACCAAATTCAAAGTAAAAAATGTTCAGATCGGTGAGCAGCAGCAGAGTCTCCGATGATACCTACCATAGCATCTACAGTCATTCGCCGACGTCAAAGGCGGTGTCACCGGCGCTCAGAGCATTGGCTTTGGAAGCCAACGAATTGCCGCAGTACGAATCCTGTTCGCCATTCTCCACACCCTCTAAGAAAGATAAATTAGGCCGTCTTCGATTCTCGGAGAAAGCCGTTCATCTTATCCCTCTCGTCCTCCTCTTATGCGCTCTCGTTCTCTGGTTTTTTTCAAATCCAGGTCCAATCATCTTACCTTTATTCATGCATCCCAATCAATTTCTCAGAAATCACTTCCAAATTAAAACTTTACGAATAGTTATTAATTCCAATTTACGCTAGGGCGATTGAACATTGTGATTTTTTCTTGCCATACTTCATTCATTCAAAATCTTAGGATCAAAGTCATCAGATAAAAATAAAACTAAATTGTTTGATTATATAGTCAACTTTCGATCTTCATATTTGGTTTTTCGTCATATCAATGTGTGCATGTGTTTGAATTAATGATGGTTGATCGTGATTAACTGAATGTGCAGACATTCATATGCCGATAAATAAGGAATTGATTGATACGAAAATTAAAGGAAAAACTGTTGGACAAGAAGTTGCTACAACTCGATTGGAAAATTCACTCCAACGCAAGTACACAGAAGCTCATAAACTAACCACAACTTTAGGAAGGCTTTAGTTGTAACAAATTTTACATTTTCTTTTTCATTTAATTTCATTTAATTATTCATTGTTTATGTCTCGTTTATATTAGTTTGATTGAAAGACGTGTTTTTCTTTTTTAATAGCTTACACTAAATATATAATATATGAGAAGCCTTCGGCAATATTTACGAGTTATTTTGAACCCTCTTCAATTCGTGTAGACAGAAAAATTGCTTTGCATACAAATGTGTTGCAAAGTTGATGATTAGGACTTGTGATGGTGAATTCTGTAATAATGAATTTTGACAAAATTACGTAAATGGTCCTTGTGGTTGACAAAATCAATCAATTATGATTTTTATGACGAATTCTTTACACAGATGGTTTCTGTGGTTTCAAAATCTTGCACAGACGGTCATTTTGACTAACGGTGTTAACATTTTCAGTTAAGTCTTATATAAAATGACATATTTGCCCTTCCTGCATAAGAACGTTTGATGTAATTTGTTCCTACCACATGAATCATTTATGTAATTTTCTCTAGTATTTATTATTGTTTTATTTATTTTAATTATATATTTAAGGATTTAGATTTTTTAAAGATTTATTTAAATATATTGTTTAATGTTTATATATATATATATATATATATATATATATATATATATATATATATATATATATATATATATATATATATATATATATATATGTGTGTGTGTGTGTGTGCCAACATTTTTTTAACGTTTTGCTCAAATTATTTTTTCTAATCTTTTTAATGTTTTCTTCAAGTACATTTATTAATGTTTTTTATTTTGATGTTTTATTTGAATAATTTTTTTTGACGTGTTCGACTACATTTTTCAACATTTAGTATGTTTATATTTGTTAAAGGATTGCATGACTATTATAATATAATTTGTAACTTAATTCACTTTCAATCATGTTTTCATTTTTCTTTTTTATTTTATCAGGTTATATAATTATTATTTTTTAATTCAAATATTTAACTATATAAGGTTGTATAATTATTACTTTTGTAAACTTTTTTATAAATATTTTTTATAAAAAAATGTAAAATGTTTGTTAAACGTGAATATGATTAATATAGATTATGTAGACATAGGCGAAACTAAAACCGCCTCACAACCTTACCAAGAACCACCATGTCATTTCACATTGAATTTAAATGTAATGTTTTCAATTTTTTTTTTTTCTATTTTTAGGCTTTTGTGCATTTTTAAGTTATACAGATTGGATTTAAAAGTAATGTTTTCGAGTTATTATTATTTTTGTTTTTAGTCATTTTGTGCATTTTTAAGTTATACAGATTTTGATTAGTCTATGTATAACCTAACATCCATTTCGAATTCCGAATATAACATGCCAGACTTCCACGGTATGCTTCTGCCCTGAGAGGTCGAAGGTCCGGTATGCTGCAGGATGTTTGAGAGATAGAGCCAGAGATTGGTGACTCTTTAGGTACCTCAGTTATTGAGGGTATGACATGGTCAGACTTTGTGGCCCGGTTTAGGGCAGAGTTCACACCGGTCGTGGAGCTCCAACACCTGGCCAGGGAGTTCTTTGATATGAGGCGAACACAAGATTTTCGCACCATGACATTCTTGGGATTGTATTATGATATTATTATTATTTTCATGATATGACTTTGAGACATGTGACTATGGTTTTGATGAAATAACTTGACTTGATGATATTTTCTCATAAGCGATTTTCTAAATTGTTATGTCAAAAACGAAATCTTTGGTCTTGAAAATTTGCGATGTTACACATTTTAACATTTTTTTTTTTCAAAAAACATTTATAAAAAATTTTACCAAAATAATACTCATAAAACATTATATGTATTATATAGTTAAATATATGAATTAAAAATAATAAGTATATAACCTTATCTATATTAAAATAAAAAGAAAAAAAAAACATGATTGTAATTGAAGTAAGTTACGAATTATGATTATGGTGACTATAAATTCTTCAAAAAAATAGTAAAAAAAAACAAAACCTAATAAAAACATTAAAAAATATATTAGAACAAAACGTAAAAGAATTAGAAAAAAATGATTCAAATAGAACATCATAAAACATCAATAAATATATTCGAAAAGACGTAAAAAAAATAAGAAAAAAAATATTTGAACAAAAACGTTAAAAATATTAGCAAAAAAAAGTATAAAAGAAAAACATTAAACAATATATTCAAACAAAACCTTAAAAATATCCAAATCCTAAAATATATAAATAATTTAAGTAAAAACAATAATAAATAATAGAGAAAATTACATAAATGATCCTTATGGTAGGAACAAATTACAAAAATGGTCCCTATGATGGAAGGACAAATATATCATTTCACATGGAACTTAACTGAAAAAGTTAATGCCGTTAGCCCAAAGGATCGTATTTGTAAGATTTAGAAACCACAGGAATCATCTGTATAAAGAATTCGTCATAAGGATCATAATTGGTTGGTTTTAGGACCATTTATGTAGGTTTGTCATGAATTTTTGAAAACAAAATGAATATATGAAGTAAACGTAAAAGATTCTAATTATAAATTATCACGATGTAATTGTAGTTTGACCGTAATTATCAAACACTTCAATCTTCACGTTAAAAGATTAAAAGACATCGAGCTTAATCAACCACTAAAATAAAATCCAACAGACAAAAGAAAATATGAATATTTGTAAAATCAGTCGTTTTTAGCAAATAAGAAATGTGATAGGGTTTCATTTTTAAACCGGGATAATGACTTAGGAGGGTAATAAAGTTTCTAGTTTTTCTGTATTAGGGCACTAAGGTTTTTTTTTTTACGTATTAGATCAATATGGTTGTTATTACCGTTTAGAAATAATCATTTTTACCGGTTGTCATTAACCCTGATTTTAAAGACATTGAAAATATATGACCATCAACAGTAAACTACTTCGTTTAGAACTCGCGTCGTCCCATATAACCTGCTACTCCTCTATATGGCGAAGCTCTTCAACTATAGTCGTCCCTTTGGGGACATCCGATAAAACTGGAACGATGCAGAGAAGATTAGCACGGCCCCTGCGCAAGGATGACACACACAAATCGAGAAATTGTCCAAAAAATTTTTTAACCCTTCGTCGTCTTCTCTGGAACCCTAATTCCTTTTTCAAATGCTAATAGAGTTCAATTGCAATTCTTACGTTTCAATAGTTCATCTACTGAAGTCATGATCAGACAACATGTGGATTCTATGGTCAGATTGATCTTCTTGTTGATGTCTTCAACCATTTGGGCAAGTAAGGGTGATCTTTCTTTCTATAAAGTCTCATTTTAGTTTTTTACTTTTCCTGTCATTGTCATTAAGTTTCAGGCTTTATAAACTTCCGTTTATGTGTTGTATATAGTCTGTATGTGTTTGTTTACGTGCTAATTTTTTTATTCATTTTGCAACTTTAGTTTCTTAGTTCATGTTGTGGTTTTGCTTTTTATAAAATAATTGATAATAGACATCCTCTACAAGTCTCTGTTGGTTTTACATTTCCATTCGTTATCAAATGTAGACATTGATGAGAGGTATCAAAGTGAGATTGTTTTTGTACATATGGATGTGTTCATATAAACATTTAAATGACAAAAAAGAAGTTATTGATAAAATGTTGCATATTTATCTAATGAAGATCGTCAATCATATGAGTTTTTGGACTTAGAAGTTCTGGAAGGGTTATGAGAGAAATTTAAATGGAAGTAACTATTTTTAGTCAAACAAATCAGTCACATTGATTAGTAAACATGTTTTCTAAATAATTAGGGTTAATGACTTAGAAGGGTAATAAGGTTTTCAGTTTGTCCGTATTAGATCACTAAGGGTTTTTTTTTTTTTTTTGTACGTATTAGACCAATATGGTTGTTATTACCGTTTAGAAATAGTCATTTTACCGGTTAAAAACGGTAAAAGGACTATTTCTAAACGCTAATAACAACCATATTGGTCTAATACGCACAAAAAAACCTTAGTGACCTAATACGGACAAACTGAAAACCTTATTACCCTCCTAAGTCATTAACCCTTTTAAACCCCTCCAAATACTTCAAAGCTCTTAGGTCAAACCAAATGCAACGATTTTAACAGAAATCCAGTGAATGCGGTTCATAAAGTACAACTATTATTACATACAAGGTTTTAATTATTTTTTTAATAAAATATATCTGCTTTCTGTTCAGATTTAAGAAATGTATTATCGCGTCACATAAAAGTTGTTGCAACCTCCATATTTATTACCATCCTAATCCATTATATGTATAGATATTGTGTACATTACTTTAAAAACTATATCATCACAATCAGAGGGTGTGAGTAAAATGTTATTCGGGTCGGAATTAACCGAAAACCGAATAAGGCTAATTTGAGGAACTGAAACCTAGACCAATTAACCAAATATGAGTTTGGTTCGGCTTGGGTATTAATTCGTTCGAGTCGGTTAATACCCGAATAACATTCAACAGTCTAATATAACTGAAAAGAACCAAATAATCTGCATTATAATTCCATAACTTGAATAACATTTACAAAATGATTATAAACACTATATTGTTTATTACTTTTGTAGCTTAAGATTCCATAACAAAATTTTTAAAGAAACAAATTTGTTAATTAAAAATAATGAAATTATGGATAATTGTTTCAAAGGTGCAAAAAAAAAATGTTAGAATTTATGTAATAAGCATGGACGGTAAAGACAAACATATAATTTTAGGCCTACATGTAAACACAAATGATATATTTGGTATGTTTTTGTTCCCAAATTAACTGACCAAATATTTGATATACACTAAAAATGATGTCACTTTTTCTTTGAAATTATCATAAACACGATTTAACTATTCTTAAAATATAAGAGTGTAAAGATGTTGAAATTTCAGATTGTGTATTTAGAATCGGATAAGCTTTTATTTAGGTAACCCTGACCGAAAAACTCAAGAACCAAATAAGCCTAATATAGATATCCGAAACCCGAACGGAATTGCTTATTCAGACCTAATTCAGTTTGGTTCGGTTCGGATTTTTGGTCAAAACGCTCATCCCTAGGTGTGAGTATCATCACAATCGGATGGAGTGAGAAAAGATTGTCAATCAATTTGACACCGAGT